GTGTCGTAGCATCTTACTAACAACGATTGAGAGAGTTGGGGGCTAGCAAAACTTGCTTCTGCTTGGGAGCGGGGTGCGTGGCCGGCTTTGCCCCCCTGGAAGCCGAACACTCCGCCCTTCTGGTTCGCCGTATCGTTCTTCGAAGAAAGCCTCGAATCCAGAATTTTCCTAAGGACAGCTTTAGAAGTCCCGTTGTCATAAAAAAAGAAAGGTTGCTCGCTTCCTATTTTCGTGCGGCGAGTATTTTAGCGTGTAAGCGGGAAGGCAGGAACTGATCTCGTAAATGGTTTAGGGAAGCTGTTTTTCTAGCTGAGTGGTTTAAAAAAGAAAAACCTGCGTCAAGTAAAAGGGCCCCAGAAGAAAGTGCATGAGGGGGGAAACCTAAGGATTTAGTAGAGGAAAGAAGAAAATTACCTGCAATATGAAGTAGAATTTTGAATGCTTGGGAAATCACCCATTGCACAGAAGGTGCTGCTTTGGGGAAATTACTTTTCATGCAACGATACCTTGTCATTTTTAAAAAAAATATCTAGCAGTTCAACATGAACCCTGTTGTGTTGGAAAAATCAAGAAAAATGTGGAAAGGAATAACAAACAATGATCTTGCTTCTATTTTTCTGCAAAACCTTTCCAAGAAATGCTAGTTCAGTGTTTTACATCTTCGAAATTAAAAAACCACGGTGGCATAATTGTATAAGCTCAATCATTGTGCAAATGTAGCCTATATCCCCAGCCAGTATTTGAGCTCTATACTCAAAGCTGATGCACTCAAACTAATGATGGAGAGGAAGGTGGACTCATCAGAGAGTCAGCTACATCAGACTTACAGCTGAGGCAAAGCAGGTTGAGCTCTGCTGAGAGAATAATTAACTCCTTCCAAGAATGAAAAGACTCTGGTTGGCACTGCTCTCCTTACAAACCACCCCTTGCTAAGCACCTCTCTGAACCCAGCAAAACCATGCCACATTTTTGGAAAGCTCTCCCAAGCTGTGGCTTTTCTCATGTAAAGAAATTCTGCAGTTTCCCACACTGGGCCTCTATGCAGAGCCTCCTCTTTTCCCTGTCCGCTGCTGTGTGGGGTTGTTGGGGGTTTTTTTTGTTTTGTTTTGTTTTGGGGGGGGGGATTGGAATAGTCTGCAGGTGTGTGAGACTACAGAAACCTCTAACAGTAATAAAAATGCAACCCTGCTCATTCATGACATATAAAAGCTGTTGATCCAGAATGCTAGAGCTGGTTGTTCACTGATCTATTTCAAAAGCCATTCTTCACCACTGAAAAAGGTGCGTCACAGGTGTGAGCCTCATAGATGGCTCATGGAAATTCAGATAGCAGAGAACCTGCTGGGTAAATAATATAGTATGTCATTCTTATTGCTATATTAGAATGGAAAGGACAATTTAGAAAACAGTTGCTGTGGAGTTTGGAAGATGAAATAAGAGACTGGTAGGTCTCACACTTTACTTTCAGTTAAAAGACTATGTCAGTGTCAAGTACTATCCAATCATATTCAGGTTTCTACATGTGCTCTAGGGCAGAGGTTCCCAACCTTTTGGGCCAGGGACCAGTTCTGTGGAGAAAGGTTTTTTCCATGGACCAGAGTACATGGTTTTGTGTGCTGCCTGCATCCTGCGGATGGGGCTTTGCTTATTTGTGTGGACTGGTTGCTGCATGCTGCGGCCCAGGGCCCAGGGCCCAGGGCCCCCTGCTCTAAGGACAGATTGGAGGGTCCTGCTGATGTACTGTCTACCCAACAGACTAAAAATCTCTTGACCTGACCTCCAAGGCTGGTGATTGAATTCCCCATGTTCTGGAGATCATATTAGGAATTTTTGTCCTGCATAACAGCCATAACTTTGTCTTAAGTCATTATCAACTCATATAGCTGGCCACATATTAGATCTTTTTTAAAAACCTTAGAACTGTTAATTCATGATTGGGAAATGGTGTGTGTGTGGGTTTCTGTTAATATTTTATCAAACCAGGTCACTTTCACTCGTGCTATTGATTTCTTTAAGTGTGGAGAACCAATTAAAATATCCACCCCAGATGCCAAATCTCCAAGTCATGCCTGTCTGATTGGAGCATTATATAACCTTATGAAATTAAAAAGAAATACTTCGACATTCATATGAGTGACCCTTTAAATCTTATAAACAGCATGGAAATTGTAAAGGAGAAAATCTACATGGTCACCATATGTTGACACCAATTTGATGGTATATGCTTCTGAATCAGGGAGGGGTCTCATATAAAGAATACATCCATGTTTCTCCTGGCCAACCTCTTCCCTTTTCAGTAAATCACACATGCCCATTATGTTATATCTGGCCTACTAGGTAGACCAGAGTAGGAAGGCTAAAAGTACTTTTATTGGGATAGACTGTAATATCAGAATCTTTAAAGTCTGACTATGCTATATCTCCTTCTCCTTGTACTTCAGTGAATTAGGGGAATATCGAAGTCACTGGATGTTTTGGTCTTAAAAAATTGCTAGATGTTTTGGACTTAAAAAATGTTAAACCCCTTTTGTTTAGACAACAGCTTCTACATATCTGTCATAGTTGTCTCTTACCCATTGCACCTTAGGATATACTACAATAATCTTTAAAAGTTTGAGAAGGCTTTTGTATTTGATGTATACATTACTGCCAAATGAAATGTTCTCAGCATTTCTTGTCCAACATCAGCAGGCAAAATACCAACTTGTAATGTGTACAGTGTGGGAAACTGTAAGTATCCTTTTATAATAATGAACCATTAAGGCAAACCTCCACTGGATTGTTATAAATCTTCTAATGGCTCTTCTTAAGCCGTATTTGCTTTTTCTTTGAGAGCCTTTAGTTCTGCACAGTATTTTAGTTTTTGACGTAGCATACACTGCATTCCTAATTGGAATTGTAGTTCCTATCAGAATATAAGTACCTCCATTATTGAAGAATAGGTTAATAAGAAATAGTAGTTCAACCAGATATTGCCTTTAGATATCTTTAGCTAAATTTTGATGTATGAAATCCTCTCTGAGCTTGTTTGCTTGCAGACATTTCATTATCCAACTGGATAGCATCGGTACTAACTAGTGTGGGGTTTGCCCTATTTTATATACAGTAGCTTGTCCTACCACTGTTGGTGAGGGTATAGTTATCTCCTTGGTAGTTCCTTGATTAGGGCATTGTTTTCTGCTGGGTTATCTGATGTTAAAACCTTTTTTTCTGAGTGTTGGCTGCTGGAGAGGATGTGAGGGGTCTTTTTGTTTCCTTCTTAGCTTTTTCTTCTTCTTTTGAATGGTATGCAAATGTGGTTTATCTCTATTTTTGATTCTGATCTCCTTAAGGTCCATTACTTACTATTAGCATTACTAGTTCAATACCAGGTAGCTAGAGGACAGGCCCACAAGTTTGTCTTCTCTTAGAAAACAAACACATTTGTTATCCCTATTTAACTTCAAATGAAGAGGGATTTTTTAAAATGAAAAACATGTTTTAAAAGACAGCGTAACAATTGCATGCTTAAGACCATATTAAAAATATTTGAGTAACCATAATTATGAATAGGGTCTAGATACCACATACTTATGTGGAATGATAGTGAAAACAATTAATCAATGGAATAGCTTGCCCCAAGAAGTTGTGGGTGTTTCAGTGCTGGAGGTTTTCAACAAAAGACTGGAAAACCATTTGTCTGGGATAGTATAAGGATTCCTGCCTTGGACAGATTAGACTAGAAGACCCCCAAGGTCCCTTCCAGCCCTACAATTGTACGACTCTATACACACTTTTCCCTTAGCAGTTGAAGGGACAATCAAAACATTCCTCTTTTCAACGGTAGCCTATTCTGAGAAAAAGGTTACTGGGCTGGAATCATTCAATGAGCTTCCACGGCTGGGGTTGAATTTGAACATAAGTTTCCTAGCTCTAGTCCAGTGGAGGCGAACCTATGGCACCGGTGCCACAGGCGGCACTCGGAACCCTCTCTGTGGGCACACGTGCTGTTGCCCCAGCCTCGCCTCCCCCCACAACTCCCTAACCAGCAGCCCCCCTGGAGGAGAGTCGTCCCTGAGCATGGCCCACGCGGAGCAGTGCAGCCAAGGACATGGCAGTCAGGCAGTGTAGACAAGACTCTGCCCTCATACCCCATCGCGCGGGCAGAGGGCGTGGCTGCCATGGCGCTGCTGGGCTGCCCGGGTGATCTGCAGTGGGCCCTGGAGGCGGTGAGTGGCCCTGCGGGGAGGTGGGGACGGAGTGGGGGTGGAGCCAGTTTTTGGGCACTCGGTCTCTAAAAGGTTCGCCATCACTGCTCTAGTCCAACATGGTTTACATGTGGCACCGGGCACTGGTTCTCTAGGGTTTACACTGGAGGTTTTTTTCCATACATAACAAGTTATCGGGGCCAAATAAGTGTTCTGCTCATGAGCTAGTCTTTTCATCGAAGCAGCCTGAAGTGATCAAATCTCTCCTAAATTATATCACAGTTCTGCTGAACCCAATTTAAAGGCTGCTTCTAAACCTTCATTTTCTTCCATGTCTATCTAATTAATTTTACAAAAAAACCCCTTCCATATATAATTTATCCATAGTTTCTATCACAATCAGCAAGTAGAGCGAGGAGTTAATATTCACATAATAGTAGCAAAGCATTACATAAATTATATTAAACAGAATAAGAGTAATTCTCAGCAATTGCTTCTTGCTAATGACCCCCTGGAAGGGTATGTGTTTGTGGGGTCATTGTGGAATTTCAGCACAATAAATACTCCAATATACATACAATATTTAAAAAAACATGTGTTGGATATAGCTACACCCAGCTAAACTCTTCCCAATCCAAAAAAGTTTTTTTTCAATATAACAATGGTTGTGTTTTACCTCTTTGGTACTACTAGTTATCTCTGAAAACTAGATGTCTAAGATAATTTCTTTAGACCTTCTTAATCTTTCATTCACCAAACATGTTAGAAAAAGCCACAAGAGATTGACCGACAAACTTGAATAAACTGGACACATACACAAAACATTCCTTTATTGCACCATGAACCATTGCTACAATGAGGGCTATTACATTAAACCCCAGTATGAGGTGCAAAGTGTGCCCATGTTCAGGGTATCTACATGTTGGCAGAAGACTGTAAAACAGAAGACCCTGTTCCCCTCAGAGAAATAAGAGGATCAGAGTCCTCTTCATCAGAGAACAGTCTTAATTGTGAGCCCAAAATAGGTACAAGGGCCAAATTGGTAACAGTTTTTGTGTGTTATGCAGTGGAAAGAATTAAGTTTTCAAGCTTCACACCCCATCTGTGAATAGAGAAAACAGATACCAATGCTAAAAAGGCCAATGGATGGACAACAGAAAGATGCAGAATGTATGGAGTGCACATGGACTGCCCCTCAGAAGTGACTGTGCAGTATTGGCATGACAGATGAAATATGTCAGCCTTACAGAGAGCAGCAATTGTATTGGTAGACAACAACAGGCGCAAAGGAATCCCTTTTCCTATTAGTGAAGTATCCCATTAAAAAAATTCTTGCAGGCAACTAGTGTTCCTTTTCAACTGGGCAAGAAACAGATTCTGCCTTAAAGCAGCAATGATTCAGTCAGCCTCTTTCTAACACTATAAATCTGTTGTGTGAATCAGATCTAGGAGACTCAGCTTCTGCCTATCAAATTGTGCAACAATGCCCACCAGAAATTAATTTGCACAAGAGCAAAGATAGACATGTACTTGAACAATCAGATGCCCTACTTCAAGAGTTCCCAGTTTAGAATATGCAATGGGTTTTTTTTTTAACGTGAAAGGACCTTCAAATGTTCGGTTTTCAGTTTATACATTCAAAATCGCAAAAATCCCATCAATAAATAAATTGCTTCCAAGCTCCTTGAGAATGTAAATTAGTTGAAATCATGTTTAATAAAGGCAGGCCAATCAGACCACCAGCTTTTCTTGCAGAACAGAACTCGGTTCCAAGGATCCTCTTCAGCAAGAATAGGTGGTGGAAAATTCCTGAGGAAAAAAATGTGGTGAGAATTTATGCTCATCTGAAAGGCTGAAACAAGGGATGGGTCATGCACAAGTAAAGGAAAGTCATACAAATTACACTCACAATGACACAGCTGGTAAGTGGGGAAAGGCTATTTCAGGCAATAATCTTAGAAACCAGGCAGAGTTCTCAGTTTACTTCAAGTTCTCTTGGCAGGAAAGGTTGCTGAGGGCATCACAGCTCACCAAGTCTAGATTTCTGGGTGTGGAGCAGCAGAAAGTTTCATTTCCAAGGGCTGATTGCCCTGCCCCCCCCCCTCAATCCACATCAAGTTGCCCTGGGACAGTGCTTTTCACAGGCACGGCGTCCTGCAGCGCCCCTGATATAGTAAGATCAAGAACCTGCTTTCTCCAGAGGCTGTAGAGGAGCGATGTGACATCCACGTAGCATTCTGAAGAGCAGCACTCTACTCAAGGGAAGAAGAGGCCCTTCTTCCCAGAAGTGGCAACTGGTGACTGCTAACAACATGATTCTGGTCACTTGAAGCTCCACAGTGTAGAAGTTGACCACAGCAATTCTTCAGCCAAGACTCATCTGTTGGGTGGAAATGGAAATGAAATTAATGACACAGAAAAGTCCTCATCCGTGTGGAATCAGAATGACATGACCACAGCTTCAAACCCAGAAGGGGAAAGAATGGTAGAATTAGAATGAAGTGACTTCATCACTTGTATTCCTTAACTTCAGAGCCAAAATGCATCTTCTACATCAGCGGTTCTCAACCTATGGGTCGCGACCCCATTTGGGGTCGAACGACCATTTTACAGGGGTCACCACAACGTGATCCGCCATTTTTCCCCCTCAGGGAGCAGCACCGTGCATGCACGCCGCACATGGGGGCGGTGCCGCGCATGCGCCGTCACACAAAGGTTGAGAACCGCTGTTCTACATCCAGGATAATGCAAAAAAAAAAAAGTGTCTCATTTGACAACTGCAGTTTAGCTCTATCCAATCACATACATGTAAAAGCCAAGGGAAAAACCCGGAACAACAGTTACACTGTATAAGAGGTTTCGGCTCAGCTTATTTATCAATGCTGTGCAGAGACTTCCACCTGAAGTGGACATGGGTGTGCAAGTAACATCTGTCAGGAAAGCGTTAAACTAAATGCTTATTTTCTCAGAATCATTTGTCAACTGTAAAGCATGGCTAAATAGGCTTGTGCATCCCTGCATGCTCCAAGCCATAGTTTGCCCTCTGAATACAAATTTCCATACAACCCCAGAATGTAAATATTGTTTTGAAAAATACATAGAAATTTTTACCCACCTTGGATGCTAGCTACCTTTCATTCCCTAATAACTGGCCATTTTCTATTCCATCTTAGCAATTCTATATAAAATAATTATCATCAGTGGTTCTCAAATCTTTTCTTCACCACGGACCCCCTTTAAATATCTTCTGTGGCACGGACCATGGCCAGGGACCACCAAGACTTAACTCAAGATTTAAATCAACATTTCTTCAGGACTTTGCAGACACCTTGTGATGACATCGCAGCCCCCCTGTGATCACAGCAGAATATCATCATCACCACGGCCACCCCATCTTTCTGCCGCCAATATAGGGTGCTCAATTTATTTACCTTTCAAAGCCGATAGCTCAGGCTAGCTACTTTGGCTGGATGTGTCACAGCCCAGAAGTTGCGCCTGCTTTGCAATTTTTGGAAGACATTGTAGTTTCTCCTCCGTTCACGTTTGAACTTCTTACTTTTTTTTACCTATGAATAAGAAGAATATGTTTTACTGTCTAATTCCTGATACTGAAACTGTGACACAGGAATTATCCTACAGAAATACAAAACGGAGTAGAGTGGACAATGGGTTTCCATAAAAGCTTAGCTTTAAAGTAAGTGTTTTCAAGCCTTCACTTCTTCCTAAAACCAAAGTGTTCTAGACCATCTATCAAGCATTCCAAGTTTTTCCAAGACTGCTTTACTATATTTATATTAATATTTATTACATTAAAGAACAATGGGAAAAAGTGTCTGAGAAGCTGAAGCATCAGAATTTACTATGGGCTTCTGACTGAATCCAAGTTCTTGCATATCTACAGGCTATTACTTTATCTTCCACTCTTACCTTGCATTCACAACTATCTGAACTCCGTAGTATGCTCAGTGAAAATTATGCTTAGTTTTCCACTAGATGGAGAAATGCTTATTTATAGACTTAACAACTTCTGCTATGGAAATGTAGGTCTGACCTTCCCACCACTCACATTAAACTCTGTTCAGTGCAACCTATTTCTGAACAAATGCCCACAAGATGGAAATAATCAAAATAAATGACATGGACAGAGGCAGAGAAAAATAAACTGTCTCCCATATTAAAGCAGAATGTAACTTTGTATACACAAGGGCTGCATGATCAAAAGTTTGGGTTATGTATTGCTTTGTTTATTTCCTGACCAAAATACATTGCACTAGCAATTCTCCACATGGATGCACATTTACCAAAAGTATGAATTTCAAAACCGAAAAATTTGAAACTCAGTCCAAATGGTAGAGTTGGGGCACTGTTAGGCTCACATGAAATTGCTCTGTACCTTTCCACGATCAAATTCTTCATCCCAATCATCAAGGATGGACTGCTTCTGGGACCATATAGCATCATGCATGGCATCCTGGCGGACAGCAGATGCTTCACCATCCCATGTTAAAACTGTGGATTAAACAGTAGAGCTGAGAGTGGCAGCATCCAACCTCTTTATTTCAGCTTACAATGGATTCCTTATTTCTGCCCTGAAGAATCAAGCAAGCATCTATTTTCAGAAGTACAGGCAAGGAAATAGGAACACCTTACATTCACGCCGCCATCATAAACCTCAGGAGGCCATCACAAAAAAAACAGATCTCTTTTTGCCTCCTTTTATTACATGCAGTATGAGTCCTTGATTATTTAGGATGGCAAGAACCATTCCAAACTTGGCGTGTTCCAGCAGTTGAAGAATCAGAAACCAAACAGAAATTTTGCATAAATCATTCTCATACATACTAAATCCTATTCCAAGGCCTTTTCTTAGCTCCCAAAGTATCTACAGTTCAATTCTGATGGAAGAAGCTAGAAAGATGTTAGGTAATAATTTTTCAGAGATTATAATTTACTGCTAGATATCAAATTTGGTTAGAAAATTCAAAGCCTTCTAGGCCACCAGCTAGGCTGATCATATTTCATAGATGATCCTCGTTCAATGACCAGCTCATCAGAAACTGTTCAAACCTATGACAGTGCCGAAAGAGTACTGGTTATGATCAGTCTTCATGCTTAGATTAATCAGTGTCCCCAGTCCCATGATCATTATTGGTGACCTTTTTTGCCAGCTTCCTACAAGCAAAATCAATGGGGAAGCCAGCAGGAGGTCACTAATGACAACCAAGTGATGATGGCAATTGGAAGCGCAGGAATTTCTGCCCTTAATTGGCATGGTCACAAAAAATCCAATTGTCATCATTAACTACCTGTGAATGTGTTGCCCCTTTTTTTCCTTTATCTTAATTAGAAAGTGAAGTACACGACATACAATAAAAATGGTATAGTAACGAGCATGCAGCAGCGTGACTCGGTAAAAACTTGGAACAACATGCATGTTCCCAGTGGAAAAGGTTTCCAAAGTCCCGGTGAAAACTGTAACTGGAAAAGGAGGGAATTCCAAAAGTATTGAGCATACCTTGCTTTCCATAAGCTTTATCCAAAGAATCCTTCAGTAGCTCCTGAACTACATCAACTGGTCCACATTCATGCTGCGTTATTTCCTTCTTTGGGCTCAGGACATTGAGGGAGAACTTGTCCCTATGTCTGAACTGGTTGCCCCAAGCCAATGCTGTTGTGAGAAGAAAAAGGTGAACAGCATATTAATGTAAGAGATGTACACGCAAATCTCATCTTTCCTTCAGGATGAGCAAATCAAGTAGGACATCCATAAATGTTCCTTTGGGGCAGTGCATTCTTAATGCAATGGACTGGCAGTCAAATGTCTCACTTTCAAGGTGAAACATATGCAAGATATTAGCAGATACGGAAGTATTTTAGTTCTGCCAATTATTCTTCATTGCACTAAATATCTCGTGAAATTGTGTGTTGTAATTCAAGCATTTATCCTCCAAATCCTTTCTTTTTTAGAATATCTGTGCGTGTCTGTGTGCATAGGAGAGAGGGGTTGTTTGCTTCTTTCAATCAAGGCTGATGAACATCTAGCAATGTGGCTTATCCAGGAACAGATGCCTAATCTGTGAAATCCCCAAATGAGGTCTGGGTATAAACACTAGGGACACAAAAAGAACTTGGTGAAAATATCTTGGAATTAATACAATGCACTGGTGCTAATGCATGCTTCTATTTTGATTTGGAAATACAGATATCAGCTCCTATTTCTGGAATACACAGATGATGTAATAGACTATTATGTACAATTCAGCTTGAGTGAAAGTGGAAGGTCACCTATATATTCTTTTCAACCTTTTCACCGATTGTACCACTTTTAGGATTGGCAATATTCAAGTTCCACTAGTTGCCTAGCAAGGTGTCAAAAACTTGATGACCAAAAAAAAAAAAAAAAAGTGATAAAGCACAGGTAGTCCTCGACTTACAACAATTCGCTTAGTGACTTTTCGAAGTTACAATAGCACTGAAAAAAGTGACTTATGACAATTGCAGCATCCCCAGGGTCATGTGATTTACATCTGCATGCTTGGCAACTGATTCATATTTATGACAGTGTCCCAGGGTCACTGATTCATATTTATTGCAGTGTCCCAGGGTCACCTGATCCCCTTTTACAACCTTTTGATAAGCAAAGTCAAAGGGGAAACCAGATTCACTTAACAACCGTGTTACCAATTTAACAACTGCAGTGATTCACTTAGCAAATGTGGCAAGAAAAGTCATAAAATGGGGCAAATCACATTTAACAAATTTCTCACCCCTTCTCCTTTTATATTCTCTCCTCTCTCCTCCTCTCCCCCCCATCCTTTTATATCAGGGGTGTCGAACTTGATTTCATCGAGGGCCACATCAGCATTGTGGTTTACTGTGGGGAGGGGGAGGGGGTTGTATGGCTAGCTCTATGTCGCTCAGGTCTGGGGGCACCTGTGGGAGGGATCTGGGGGTCTCCAGTGGAGGGGGTTAGGGTTAGGCTCCTTCCCTCTCTCTTTCTCATCTCCTTCCTTCTCTTCTCTTCTCCCTTTTTCCTCATGATTTGTCTCACAAAAAGCCTTTTCTCTTTCTCATGCATACATCCCTCCAAAATCCTCCCCATTCTCACGCACACGCCCTCCAAAATCCTCCCCATTCTCACACACACGTCCTCCAAAATCCTCCCCATTCTCATGCACACGTCCTCCAAAATCCTCCCCATTCTTACGCCTCTCCAAAAGACTTTTCCCCTCTCTCTCTCCCCTTCTCTGACGAAAGCCTTTTCTCTTCTACCTCTTTCTCCAGCATCTTTTTTTCTCTCCCTCTCCCGCCAAAACTGCCTTTTATATCCCTTCCTGTCTCCGCCCCCCCCCTCCTCTTTTCTCTTCCTGGTGAGTCACAAGTGCCAATCCTGGGGTCTTTGTCTCACCCCAGCAGCCCTGCAGCTCCTGAGGACTCTCTCATGGCAAGTCCTGCGCTGTACCGCTTTGGCTTGTTTCCTCCCCCGCTACACTTGGCTAGGCTGGGCAGGGCCGCATACCAGTTGAAAAGCCCTGATCTATACTACATCAAGGAAGCAATAAGACTATTTCAGGTGGGGATGCGAGATGGATACTGAAGGTATTTTTGACCTCCCTTGCTTTCCCCTACCCAATTAACTTTAATGCAGATATATTACCAACCTGGGAGACCCTCTCTAGCTATAGAAAGTCCATTCTCATTTAGTTCTTCTTGGGGGCTACAGACCTCAGCCACGGAACAATGCAATATCTTTCTTCGTTTATCTTTGTGGTGCTCACTCTCTCCAGAAGAAGTGTTCTTGTCTGAACTGGGTGAAGGCAATTGCTTCTTCTTTTTCCTCTTCTTTGTTCTACAGGAGCTGACTTCAGGCGGAGGAGAGCAACTGTACATAACAAATAAAAGTGATTTTATGGTGTCAGCCTTACCAGTAGACCAGACAAGAAACCATTCTTCTTCACTGTAAAGCAGTGGTTCTCAACCTTTTAAATACCGCGACCCCCAACCGGTCATAAGTCGAGGACTACTCAACTGGTGCAGCACCATTTGCAGAATGGGACTTTTGGCGGGCTCAGCAGGGCAGAGACAACCTGGATAATTCCTATTGGCTTTTGAAAGCCAATAGAATTAGATTCTATTCAAGAGAGTCTATTCTATTGGCTTTCAAAAGCCAATAGAATAAAAGGGAGTAGCACAGCTAAGGAAAAGGGGAAAAAAATGGCGGATTGCGTTGTTTGGCAACCCCCGTGAAATGGTCGTTCGACCCCAAATGGGGTCCCGACCCACAGGTTGAGAACCACTGTTGTAAAACTACTTTAACAAAACCTTACAAGTCTGAAAGTACAATCTTCATGTTGTCTCCTTTAGAGTCTGAGAAACTAGGCAGGATTCCTCCCGAGCCTTTTTGCCTAGCCCAGGGGTGTCAAACTCAATTTCACTGAGGGCTGCATCAGCATTGCGGTTGCCCTTGGGGGGCTGGGTGGGTGTGGCCAGAGTGGGTGCAGCCTACTGGGTGGGTGTGGATGGAGTGGGCGTGGCCTACTGGGTGGGCGTGGCCAGTTCTACATCATTCGCATCAAGGGTGCCTGTGGGGGCCTGGGCAGGAGTGGGACAGATCTGAGGGTCTCTGGCAGAAGGGGGTGGGACTGGGGCAAGTGCCAAGGCATGGTCCACTGGGGCAAGTGCCAAGATGGCCACCATAAAATTGTACATTGGCTCCTGGCTGGCCTGGGCCAGGGCCAAGGCAGTGGGGGCTTTCCCTCACTGTTTCCAGAATCCCTCTACTGTGTCTTCCAAGGTCTTTCCCACATACCATTACAACTGATCAAGTAAAACCTTGCCTTGAGACAACCAGCCAAGCAAACACTTACCTGTTCACAGGGGACAACAAAGAGGAGCAGTCTTCCTCTCTTTGCTGCAGCCCTTTCTTCTTTTTCTTCTTCTTCTTTTGGATGGAATTACTTTGACTAGTAGCTATTGCCCTGTCGTCTCCAGCCCTTTTCTCTTCCTCTCCCTTCCTAGTCATCACCAAGTTGGCTTCCTGTGCAGGGGAGATCATAATGCTGCCATTTTCCTCAAATTGCCTCCTCTTGCTGGGAGGACTGGAGAGCCAGGTCCTCTCGCCATTGAAGTCTTTCATGTTTCGGCTACCGTGGTCACCCTGCTCTTCCACTGGGGAGCTATGCTTCCTTTTTCTCTTCTTACTGCTGACAACTAATGGCTCTTTGCTGTTGCCTGGATAAGAGAGGTGCGGTGCCAATGTGGGTACAACTGGTGCTGGAAGAGGGGTGGCAGCAGAGAGGCATGATTTGAAGCTGGATGAGGGCTTGAAGTTGGCAAAGGGACTGTCAGCTGTTTGTGGTGGTGCCGAAGATTTGGAAGCAGGTGAGAGCATCCTAGAGGACCACATAAAGGTAAAGTTAAGAAGATCCAGCAGATCCCAAAACTTTGAAAATCGTTGGAAAATGTCATTGCTGTCTCAGTTCTCTAAAGGTCAAGGCCAACCATCTCACTAATTCAATGTACAAACAGAAAGGCATTATCACATATCTGGTTGCTTCCAGGTGAAGATTAGAATTACATGTTACCCTTTTTCAAAAGATACAAGTACCAATTTGGATCACAATTATTTCAATTCCAGAACTAGGCGTATCGAAGATTTCACACCATTTTAGTTCCCATCCAAAGAGAATCATATAGCTGGGCATGAATGCAGGATTGTCAGCTAACATACTTCTAAGCATGGAGATTTTCCAATTATAGAATTTCTGTTTACTCATTTCACTGCCAAATCTGGAGCCACATTTTTCTGTAACAATGGCTGGGTCATATATCATGCTGGATCTTAAAAGTGGCTTGCATGGTGGCGACTTATATATTATGTGTGAACTAGGTAACTGGCTTATTTTCCAAATGATTATAATAAGATTTATGAGAACACGAGAATAGTGATGTTCTAAAGTAGGAATGAAATGTTGCTGTCCCATATTACTTCTTGTTTATGTCTAAATGACTGGGAGGCATTTCTCTACAATATTTCTATTATTCTGTTAATCTAGTTGTCCTAGAACTTTCGTTTTTTTTTGTGGCAGACATCTAATCTACACTAGTTCTTAAATAAAAAAAAATGCACACCCTGTGACCTTTTGCTAAATAAACTGACCTACACCATTTGCTCAATTTACTTGGAAAAAAAAAGTAGAATGCAAAGCATTTACGATTGAGCAGCACGACTACATTTTTGTTTCCAGAGGTTGAACTATTGCTACAAAGTATATTTTTCTCTAGAAATTTTAGGTAAAGTGCTGATCGGTTCACGGATCAATTACTGGACCCCAATAAAAGCTTTCCAGGGGATGGAGGAAACAGAACTTACCAATATTAAGTTATACAACTAGAAACCGTTCTCAGGCATCATCTCTAGCTGAGCAAATGACGCCTCACCTCCCTGGATGCAATTTTTGGTTCCAGAACATGGAGGAACAAAGCACCTGAACCAATCAGATTCCTCTAAGCTAGTAGGCTTTAACCCAGAAATCCTCAGGCAAAGCACTAGAGCAGTGGTTCTCAACCTTTCTAATGCCGCGACCCCATAATACAGTTCCCCATGTTGTGGTGACCCCCAACCACTTATACATCACCGGATGCCAGGGGCATGGCCAAAGGGGAAAAAAAATGGCGGACAGCCTTGTTTGGCGATCCCCGTGAAATGGTCGTTCGACCCCAAATGGGGTCCCGACCCACAAGTTGAGAACCACTGCACTAGAGGGATTCCAACAAAGAAACTAAACTTAACCTTAACTACAAAAGGCCTTATTGAGGAAAAGGATTAAATACCACTGGTATTTAATTTAAATACCACTGGTATTTAATATCATACTACTTATGATGCTGGCTGTCCTGCCCTGAAGCCCCACTGGCCATAGCTTACCTGGGTTGGACAGGTCTAGCAGCACAGACGAATTGGGTGGTATATGTGGCAGCTGGGGGAGAATGGGGCGGTGCCTGATGCTCATTGCCGCTCACTTTCCGCAGGGTGTTGCTGCCCTGTAGTTATCGACATAAATAAAAACTTGGTGGTCTAAAAGGAGGTTTCCATGACCCCAGGGACAGCGGGTGGCATAAGAAGAGAGGGTGGGGACAAAACAAAGAGAGGTAGGGGTGGAAGAGGGAGGGGAAGAAGAATCAGAAAAGTGTTTGTGGTTAGAAACAAAGGGAAAACAAGGAAGGACATGTCAAAAGACAGAAGACGTGTTAGAATAAGTAACAGGCCACTGATACCTTCCCATTTCCCAGGGCATGCTAGCTTTACTCCTGAAGGTTACAGCCCTGCCAAGCTGCTCTTTTCTGGCCCAGTGCAGCAAAAGGATTGCTGTCTCTCCAAGCAGCCTCATTTACTTGCAGATGCAGCGGGGGTGGGGTGGACAGGCTGTGGATCAGGGCCACGGGCTGCTCATAAATCTAAGAGGGCCTTCCTCAAAACTCCACCTCAAGAGTATTACCAACACATGACAATTCTCACCATGGTCAAAGGGGAAATCTGTTACTTCTATATTTCAGTCACTTAATATCATTTTAATTGTTCAATTAAATCCATTTTAGATTTTTCTTTGTCCTGGTCTTGCCCTGTTCTTGGAATGCAGCCCTCAGCACGCCATTCAAACGGTCTAATATAGCTCTTGGTTTCCACCCCCCACCCAAAGGTTCTACATCTTAACTTTTCATAACCAGAAAGAGGATGGGGGGGTGGAAGCAAATTCAACCTGTTTCACCCCAAGGCCATGAGAAAAGCAAGTCTTGCTACAGAGACTGCAAGCATAAAGCATAATTTACTTCCCGCAAATGCTGTATGTTGCACTGGGGCATTGCAAGTCTGCTAAACGAGGTGTCATTTTGGCTACTGCCTGCAGGTAGATGCCTCCTGAGCCTTTATTGATGGAAAGGCCATCTGCTTTTCTTTCATCAAACTTTCACTTTTTTCACCATTCCCCCCCACACACACACCCTGGAGAAGGGCAAGATCAATTCCTTCCCCCAAACGCACCTTCCTGGCAGAAAGTGCCAGTTTCTTTGCAGGAGGGGGCGACATGGTGTTTCCCAATTCCAGATGGGCCAAATTAGCCAACAGCGGTGACTTCAGCTTGGCAAACTTGGCGTGCTCGGAAGCCTGTTTCCCAGACCCAGAGTCCGATTCCTGAGAGGAAGAGCGGCCGTCAGCTCCTACTGTGGCCTGAGAAAGTCCCTTAATTGGCCTGTGAGCTGGACTGGAGGAGGAGGAAGAGGAGGAGCTGCTAGAAGAGGAGGACGATGTCAAGGATGAGTCCTTGCTTGGGAGCTCTGTCCCTTCCTCCTGCCCTTTGGCTTCAGAGGTTCCTCCAGAGCTGCCTGACAGCTGCAAAGATGCCGCCAAGTTCTTGCCTCCCCAGGAGCTCTGTTTGGCCATCTCCAGTTTAGCACTGTCAGCCTGACCAAAGTCCTGAGAGGTTTTGAGAGACAAGGGTGGCTGCTTCTTGGATCTCTTGCTTAAGTCGTCCAAGAAAGCAGCCTTACTGGGGAGTTTCGGAGATGAGAATCCAACGGCAGGTATGAGCTGGGGAAGAGGAGGAGGAAGTATCCCATTGTGAGATTTATTGTTGGAAACAAAGATGTTGCGGGAAACAGGAACACCAGATTCCTCACTGTCTGAAGCCTTCTTAACCTGAGTTGCATCTTGCCTCTAGGGAGAAGATAAGACAGAAGTGCTGGATCAATAAAAGTATCCACTGTATCTGCACCACTACCTGCATGATAGGCACATATACGTACAAACTCCACTGAAGATGTTACCTAGCCTGGTAATGAAACGTTTGGAAACCAACCCACAAGCTCGGAGAACTAATCTTCACCCTCATCCTACACCCGATATTCGCCACTATTGCAAACACACACATGTACCTGGAAGATGAAAAGCTGACTATACCTCTGGTGGTCTTGCCAAATGAAATAAGGTTGCTGTTATATACATTAACCTAACCACCTTAAGATTCAATCCCACTTGATCTACTAAAATAAATTAAATGGAATCACTACAGATTACAGTGAAATTCTTCTCCCTCCGCGCAAGTTCTCACAATATATCTGCACAGCTACCATCCAGATCTGAGAAATTAAAAACAGAGCAAGATTTTTATTGTCTGGGGGCAGAGAGAGCATTCTTACTTAATAGCTAAACTATGGATTCCTTTTCCCGGGCCCAAAATTGACTACTTAGAGGCAAATTTTTTCCCCCATTTTTTTCACACAGGCACATTAGACCAATTTTGGAATGTAGCTCTAGTGTGTCACTCACTTTGCTTATCAGTGGTGATGCAAGGGTACCATTAGTTGTACTTTTCTTCAAATGATCAGAGGCGATGTTTGTTCGGCTGGGCATTGAGCAATTGCTTTTGGAGACAAGTCCTTCAGGATTCTTCTTAGTGCTTGGGATCCTTAAAAATATATTATTTCATTAATTTGTTCATAAGATTTGCCTGATCTCTTGTCTTTCATTAAACATTTTTCTGAAGTACATCAAGCACAGGGGTAGGCAACCTTGGCTTTTTTATGATTCATGGGCTTCAACTCCCAGAATTCCTGAGCCAGCTATGCTCAGGAATTCTGGGAGTTGAAGTCCACGAGTCATAAAGGAGCCAGGGTTGCCTACCCCTGGTCTAGCAGCTAACTAAGAATAAGGGTAACTATTTGAACACTGGAAAGTTGGGAGCCTCTGTCCCAAGGGAGCATTTAGTTGCTATGTAGTTTGAATACATTACTCATGTAGTAGAGTTCTGAAGACTATTAACCTCAAAAGGACCTGGGATTTGAGGATGGCCACAAAAACATAGGAAGCTGTCTTACTCCATATCAACCCAATGATGTAATCTCACTCTGTATTGTCTACATCAGCTGGCAGCAAATCCCACATGGAGTCTTTTCCATCTCTGCCTGAAGGTGCTGGGGACTGAACCCAGAACTTTTTTTTTCACAGCAAACATGTTTGGCCCTTTTCTAACAGGAAGGATAGCTGGATGCCATGATACAGTGAACACATTTCCCAATAATTAACCAGGCCATTCAGTTCATGAGTAGTACAAGGAGAGGTTTACCACTTAGCCTACCTCTCAGCCATCCACTTGCAATGGTATCAACTAGGTTATCCCTACTATTGATGTTATTATATTTGTTATCTATTTTCATTAGATCGTAATCCTGAAGTAGGACACAATAAAATCCTATCACATTTTGCCAGCTTTTAAAAGAGCATAAAAGAAAGCACAAAACAAGAATGGCCTAGAAGACACCAGTTCAGATATCGGGGTGACAGCAACAACATCCAAAGGGAAAGCAGGAGAATCTAATAGGAGCCTCAAGCATCTCTTACCTAAGATAGAAGAGTACATAGGCCTGTTGGTTGAGAACAACTTTGATGTTGCTTGAATGTACCATAGAATCATTCATCTGGTACCACTGCCCATTACTAGCCTAGATAAACAAAGAAAGAATAATTGATCACTAGCCCGTAGAAATATCATCATTATCCTCAAAAGATGATTATATGCATATATTCATTTATTTCATTCATTTATTAGTAGCAGCAAGCCAGGAAAATCAGCCCAAGTACAGCAATGTCTAAAGGGTAATACTGGAGATTATCTAAGTAAGTGGATAATGTCATACCTAATCCTAATATACTTTGCCTTTGGTATCTAGCTGATTAGTTATTAGACTTAAGACATTAGGACAATCACTGTCTGGACTGAGCTCAACCATTCTTATGATGTCACATCACTTCCAGTAATCTGTAGCTTGGACATTTTAGAAAATCCCCAAATCACAGATTCTTCAATAACTGAGAAAATTTGGAGATGGATCACAAGACACAGAAACAGGGAAACAAAGTAAAACAGTTCTGGTGGTACAAGGCAATTTTGCGAACTTCTCAAATGGCATGGAAGTAAAACCTCTCCTCTAAGGTTAAAACACACTGATCAACCATTACCCACAGCCTAGCATATCAACAAAGACCCACCTTGACATAGCAGTAGTAATGCCCGGCATGGCAGCTGTATCCTGAATGCACAAGTACAGCATAGAGGCCATACATGACAGGGTCACCGCTGCTCTGCGACATGTAAGGGCGAATATTCAAGAATTCAGGGTAACCCACGTCCTACATAAGAAAGAGAAAGAGTTCGTAAGAATGTGTTCCACCTTCTATCCATCTGCATAAGGAACGTCAGCCTTACCAGGCACAAGTCAGCCATCTATAGATTGAATTATCCAAAGGACTGACACCCACTCTTAAGAAAGTCAGAGGTACTGGCCAACTGGATCCACCCAAGCCCTCTTTCTAAGAAGGTACCCCACTCCCCCTTTTCTGATCACCTTGGTAATCTTGCCCCCACTAAAGTTGGCGAAGCGCTTGAGTGAGATGGTAAGGACATTAGAGGCCCGGTGAATAGTAAAACGCTTGGTGGCTGGAACTTTCTTCTTGCATCTACACGGAAGAGAAATGAGTGAGTTCTATTCCTGCTCAAAATACGAAGTACTTGAAGCAGAGCCAGCCCCTAAACGCCTATCCTCAATAGAGCTTATGGACTGCCACTAACAGAGGCAAGTTTGAAACATCTTGGAACGGGCGGCTTCCTGTCCCTCAGTCTGCCATGTACATGAAAGGAAGACGGCCTTGAATTTAAGGCCACCCCAAAGGAAGAATGGTTTTAAAAGCTCTGCTGTTTCCATTACTATACTTGCACCAAATTTAAAGAGATCCTCCCATTTTAAGGGCAAATTATTTGAGGAAAAAATAGTCATATACACTGGATAGTTTCTAAGTATTTTGGAAAATGATTGGCTTCAAGTAATAAGTAGCTAAGTTCACTTTTACTCAACTATTTCTCCATGATCCCATCCCTGCCAACTGATTAATTTATAAATGATTAGGTGACCTTTCCTTCCCTTCCCTTTATGTATGTACAGTAAGTCCTTGGTTAATAATAATTTGTTCAGCAACTATTCAAAGTTCCAGAGGTGCTGAACAAGAAGACTTTAAGCCAGATCTCAAAAGTTCAGCGTCCCCAGTTAGATGATCACAATTCAGTTGTTTCCCAACCAGCTCACAATTATGATAGTTAGAGCATCCCAGTCATGTGATTGCATTTGCACCCTTCACTGCCAGCTTCCAACAAGCAGTCAATGGGGAAGCCAGCAGGAGGTCAAATAGCAATCACATGACTGTGGGATGCTGTGACTGTGCAGGATTCACTTAACGATCGCAACTGGAACTGCCAGCCTAAGTCAGCATAGATACATGACACTATGTTTTATGATCGTGTCATTTAACCAGTTTCCAATAAACACTATTAAATGGGAACTACCTATATGGGTAATTATGTGAGGGAAATGGCTTATACACATAGCAATCAAGAGGGAAGCCAAGAAAAAAAAAGTAACTCACTTGGCACACATGTAGGCATTCTCCCCACTCAAGACATCAGCTTTTACAAATAATTCTAATGCCCGTACAATATTGGCTGCTTGCTGTAATAAAAAGAGAATAGAGGGAAATTCAAAGCTTTGGCTTGAACCTCATAGAAGTTCAGACTAGAGGGAAGATATAGCTATAATCATATGCATTCATATGCACAAACAAACATATGCACATCAGCAGGCACACAAACCTATTCCCTAGCAATCTCTCTATTTGCCTGCCCCCTTTTACTTATCAATATTGCAGCTACTATTGTGTAATAACACAATGCAGTATCCTTTTTTGGATATTCCAGATCTAAGTGAGGGGAATAAACCTGAAAAGCAAGCCAGGCAAAAGGATTAGAGTTTTCCAGAAGTGGCTATGCCCCCGCTACTCCCCCCCCCTAGTATTTCAGTGGCTTTTACTCCTTTTTATACAGGACAGCTGCCCTTCTTCTGCAACTACCACGAGCTTTAAGAAGTGGTATGCTTGGAACAGCTTCCTATAACATATCTGCCCTATGGTTTAAAACAATTCAGAAGGTGGCCTTCAATATTTCATTATTATCACAACTGACACCTAGGAGATACCATCCTTTGAGTTGGATTAAAAAAAAAAGAAAGAAAGCAAGAGAAATAATAATGCTGGCATACCCTAATTTCCAAAGCCACATCCAGGTATGGGTCATAAGTATCTGAAACACTCTTGCACACGGAGCACTTCACTGCAAAGAAAGCAGAACAGTTGCTTGCCTGTTCTTCAGGGTCACAGCCAATGTCATGTTTCATACTGAGACAGACGAGGCATGAGGCTGCAGTCTCTGTGTCTAGCAAAACCAGCACTGAAATCAGCTAAGCAACCAGATGCTTAATATCCCCTTCATAGCCTTGATAGAGGCCCAAAACTAGAAGGAAACGTCTACAGTGTCTGGGAAGCAACTACAAATCAACTGAACCTATAGAGGTATAGTTGGGCACTGAAGGGAACTTTGGAGATGCCCTAGTAGACTTAGCCAAAATTTAAAACTTCAGGAACATGGAAAGGAAACCTCCCAGCACTCCCTCATCTGGGCCTCGCTAAGCTGCGCTCACCACGAGATCGGAGGTAGCCGCCAAAGATCTGGTGCACCAATGTGGTAGCCTGAGTCTGACGATCCAACCTGAAAAGACAAGCAACAGAATGACTAGATTTCAAGTATGCTTTCATTTAAAATAGGGGTCCCCAAACTCTTCTGCTCATTGATCTCTTCATGAGGTTTCAGATGGTTCATTGACACCCCCCTAAACATTTATTGTGTGAAAATAATGTAATAAATACAATTTTAATCAATAAACCACGAACAATAACAATAATAATCAATAATCCCATCAATCCTTGGGGGGGTCAACATTGATCACTGGTGAATTCTGATTTAAATAGGATGGCCTAAACAAGGATAAGGAATGCTGCTATACTACATTCTCCAAGAATTCTAACTAGCATGGCCTATAATGAGGTATGATGGGAGGCATAGCTCAACAATATCTGATAAAATGCATTTCTTCACTTATGAGTTAAACACAAGCAATCAAAACCACCAGGCATGAATTTCCTTCTCTCAAGAGCAAAGAATATCTGCACATCTGACTTAAAACTGATGGGGTTTTTTGTTTTCTCTGAGCCTGGTTGGTCTCCTCAAATGTTTTTGTTACCAATACACTGATGATGTTACCTAGCTTAATAATAAAACATCTGCAGGAAAACGCCCAAACTCAGAGAACACCAAGAACCCATCATTTCTTCCTGCGATAGGATTTTTTGCTATGTTTAAAGCTTTAATATTTACTTCCATAGTAAGGAAAGGTAGACCTAGTCACTGTTGCTCATGTAATATGCAATTTTCCCCCTTCCTATATTTGGGAAAGCTAATACTTCAGTAAGCAAATTTAATGAGAGGACACAATTACAAGATCAGTTCAACCCAGTGTTCTCTCCCAAGCACACAGCAAGTGAACTAGTTGCTCATACTTAGTATAACCGTTGAGGCAGGCCTTTTGCATGGCATCAATGGTGTAGCGCAAGAACTCGTGAGCATCCTCCTGACTACCAAAACGGAAGTGCCGGGCAATCTCTGCCAAAGGAGATTTAAAAAAAAAAGAACTCATTACAGACCATCTCAGAACAGTACCAGAAACAGATGTCATTATTGAATCCAGCATGGAAGCTCAGAAGTTGTTCCTCATAAATTGACCATCATCAAAACCAAACTCTCCACCTAGCACAGTGGTTCTCAACCTTTTTAATGCCACGACCCCCAACCAGTCGTAAGTCGAGGACTACTCAACCGGTCGTAAGTCGAGGACTACTCAACTGGTGCAGCACCGTTTGCAGAATGGGACTTTTGGCAGGCTCAGCAGGGCAGAGACAGCCTGGACAATTCCAGGCTGTCTATTCTCTATTCAAGAGAGTCTAATCTATTGGCTTTCAAAAGCCAATAGAATAAAAGGGAGTAGCACAGCTAAGGAAAAGGGGAAAAAAATGGTGGACTGCGTTGTTTGGCGACCCCCGTGAAATGGTCATTCGACCCCAAATGGGGTCCCGACCCACAGGTTGAGAACCACTGACCTACCATATCTAAGAAAAATGCTGATGAGTAAAACAAAAAATAAATTATAAAAAATAAATGTTGATGAAAGAGCCAGTTTGGTCTAATGGTTAAGGCAACAGGCTAGAAAGTGGGAGACTGTGAGTTCTAGTCCAGCTTTGGGCATGAAAGCCAGCTGGGTGACCTTGAGACAGTCACTCTCTCAGCCCGGCCCACCTCACAGGATTGTTGTTGTGGGAAAAATAAGAGGAGGAAGGCGTGTTGGATAAAGTTCACTGCCTTGAGTCATTTGTAAAAATATAAATAAAATAAATAATAAAATAAAATAACATCTTTAAATTTCATCCTTACAATCTTTGTATCTTAAAAAATCTTGAAAAAGAGCATCTTTGGACCATGAATTTTACACTGATGGATGCCATGTCTTAATGCTTCTATTTGTAACCATAAGATCTAGAAATCTTGCTTTTTTAAAAAAAAGCAGCATTCACACGTGCAAGTATTTAAGTTATGGTCACCATCTCAAAAGGATCATTGGTCTCTTGCCCTGTATGAACTGGATAGGTAGACTATTATTTTATGACGGTATTCTAACCCTTTGCTTACTTTTAAGATCTCTGATGAAGGACACAGGTTTGATGGCATTACCACTATTGGCAAAAGCCTGGATCATGTGATTCTGCATTATGCACATCATGCAGAAGCCTCCCTGGTGACCTGGAGGAGAAAAAAATCACAATTACCTATTTTCATCAATAGCTACATTATACATCTTCCACTGTATCCCTTTTTCTGCTAGAAACAAAATATAAAACCTGCAGTTGAAACTCTCACTTTACTGAAATAGCTTACCCACTAAGTTGTGACCAGACCTATATGGACTGTCAATCAGTCTGTATGTCTGTCTGTCTGTCTGTCTGTCTGTCTGTATCTATCTATCTATCTATCTTTCTATACATACATACATACATACATACATACATACATACATACATACATTTTGTCTCTTTCCCCCCTTTTTCTCTTTTATCTGATGGCTAAAAGCCATAATAAATAATATAGATTGATCACATGGACATTTTAACAATTTCTTATCCCGACTCTAAGTTTTTCTGCCACATACCTATAAATCTCAAGGCAATGCTATCTGTTAAGCAACTCAGGCAAACAGGAACAATTTCTAAAGTATGTGCATTAAACTGCTGGCACCTTGAGTGCAAAATGATTCTTCCTATTATTTAAATAGCTCATTTGATTTTTAAAACCACCAAAGCTGCCATCTACCTACCTCTACCTAGTCATAGATGTGCACTCTTCAACTAAGAGTCAGTACCGCTAGTAAGGATGGGATATGGTATAGTGAGGAAAGCAGTTCTTATGTAACACTACAGTTGGCCCAAGACCTTCACAGATGCTAACATAGTCTGCCAGTCTCCCTTTATAAGGATTTATGCAGTGAAAAGCAGTTGCTGGCTGGAACGTGATACAGCACCTCATGTGAGTTAACCCTGGATTACTTACCCTCCCCCACCCCTACAAACCAAGAAAAACCCACCCATTAAGTTCACACAACACTGCAACCCCATTAAAGGTAGTCCTTGACTTACAACAATTCATTTAGTGACCGTTCAAAGTTACAATGGCACCATTTTTCACACTTATGTCCATGGCAGTATCCCCACAGTCACATAATTTACACTCAGATTTCCACATAAAATAAGCAGAATTATAGTAGAATTTGAAAAATTCTTACATATTTTAGAACATCACCATCATCATCACCATCTGATCACTGGTTCATATTTATGAAGACAGCAGTGTCCCAGGATCATTTTGTGATCTTTTAACAAGCAAAGTCAATGGGGAAGCCAGATTCACTTAACAACCGGGTTACTAATTTAACAACTGCAGTGATTCACTTAACAAATGTGGCAAGAAAAATCGCAAAATGGGGCAAAACTCACTTAACTAATTTCTCACTTAACAACATAAATTTTGGGCTCAGTTGTGGTCATAAATCGAGGACTACCTGCATTACAATTGGGTTCAAAGTAACTCTTTGTCATAAGAAGCACTACTCCTAGATTTCAGTTAAGAAATCAAAACCCCCAGTAATGGAACATATCCAAGTCCTAAACAAAAAAACCAAAATGTAGCAGAATCTAAAGTCATAGCCTAACTTCATTATATAACCTTTTCTTAAGAGAAAACTACTTAAGATACTTCCTAGTGTCTTAAACACATTGAATTCTTCTCATGTAAGTCTGTTAAGCATAACCTCATATATATTGGAAAACTAATGTTCTCCACAAAACACTATCAAAATAGAGGAAGCAGAAATTTGTAATTATAAATTGTAAAGTAATTCGAGAAGTAAACACTGATTAACGGGAAAAAAGATTTCCACATAAAATGGGCAGAATTATAGTAGAATCTAAAAAAATTCTTATATATTTTGGAATAAATAACACCATCATTACCATCGTCATCTGAACAACACTTCCGAATGGTCAAATATTTTTACCTGCCTGATCTTGCTATGATCCTTACTACAATCCTGTAAGGTAAAACGGCATAACCTCCTCCCACAAGGTATGGAAGATTAACTCCAATTGGGGATCCTATGCCCATGGGATTGATGAGATCGTGGCAGAAGCAAAACCAGACATCTTTTCCTAATTTTGGGGACAGTAACTCTGCTTGCATTGATGCTCTAAAAGTAATAAAGGGGATGAGAAAGGAGTAGCTTCCCAGAAGCAGCTTTAAAGCTATCTGAACCCTTCTGATTTTCCCAATATTTATGTCAACAACGTTGTACACATTTATCATCTAAATGCCTCATTCACTAACCATTCACCTTCCTTGAGCTGCTCTGCCAGCCATAATCTTATATTTTTAAGAACTCCATCCTTAATAGGCCTTGGAAAATGAAACAGGTTGTTCCTATAGTTTTGCTCTAAGGAGAAAAGAGATATGAACAAGTGAACGCATACAGCACTGCAAAACACACACAAACTCAGCCACACACTTACAATTGCGGCTGTGCTCCTTGGAAAGCAGATAATTTGCTAGAGGTGGGGTGTATGTTAGACACTGCAGAGTTGAGTTGAGGAAGCAGGTGTTGCCCAGGTTGTGGAGACCAGCTCCAACACGGTACACCCGCTCCCATTTTAGGGAGAGTCGCTCCAGAGGAAAGAGGACCTTTTGGGGAGCTGGCACCCCATCACTTCCCAGCACATGCTCATTACCTGTCGCGGGAAAAAAGGAGAAGTCAGCAAGTCAAAAAGAAAATAAGAACTCATTCTCCAAAAGATAAGTACAACAAATGAGGCACCTTGTTTTCGTATGGGTCCCTCTTCATAGCTCTTGTGCCGACTGCAGTTGTCTATTCTTGGGTTCAACAAAACGTACTTGCTCTTGAGGCTCTCCAGCTGGTAGGAGAAGTTTTTGGAGGCTGGTTCAAACTCAATCTTTTGCAGCAAAATCTTCTTGGCAGAAGCTGCCAACAGTTTACCCAGTTCAACATCATCAGCAGAGTCTTTTCGCCCAGGTTTTAGGGCTTCTTTTAATTTGTCCACTATCGGCATGGTGCATCAATTGGTAAAGGCAACAGCCACCATCCTAGCAAGGGAACTTCACTCTGCAGAGAAAAAGTTACTCAACCTCAAAATCAAATGCATCCAGCTCAGCCCTGTTTTCTCTATTCTTCTTCTTCTTGTGCCATATCCGTTATCGGACATTGGCGATCATGTTGGCGATCCTGTTTTTATCAGCAGCCACACGAAAAAGTGCTGCTGAGTTTTGTCCAAACCAGTCCCTTAGATTTTGATCGTAGTTTTGGGTTTATCATGCTTCTAGCGGACCGGGAGATTCTTAGTACCCCTGCCCCATTTAAGGGGCGCCCATACTCGGGGCCATTATAAAATCCACCCTCAAAATATGTTATTGCGACAATCAAATAGTCTTTCTTTTTGTACTTCTACCTCTATTTTGCTTCCCATACCTCTCATCTTCTTATGCTGAATGTGGATTATAATTGCCATGAACTTTATGATGCTTTACAAATCATGATCAACATGAATCTGGTTTCCACAACAAAGCTTCTGTTAAAAAATATAAAACTAATCTATCTTCAGATTTATTTTCTAATCTCTATAAACAATCAGGTAAATTCAAAGCACATCTACAAATTAAGATTTCTCAACTGTAAAATTTCAAATAGAAATGTGTAGCAATAAATATATACTATCCACTAAGATACAGGAATAATATTCCCATGACAAAAACTAGAAATACACTTATTTGAAAGGCAGGATAGGATAAAAATTACAAAATAATTTTTTTTCACATTTCTGAAAAGCCTAAAATTTTATGTACATTGTTAAGCCTTTTAATGTATCCTTTAGCATCTCATAGGTCCTGGATCCAAAATTCTGTACTCAGTAAACAGGTTTTTGTTCCCCAAAAACTGAACAAAGGATTAGATTATATAATAGTTTTTGCTGCATATGAGGGCTCTAGATGTACTTTCATGTTGCTTTGCAACTAACTGGAAATTAACTTCTAAATGATGCGTTTCTATTTTCTGAAATGACTGTGAACATGCAATTCACATTACAACCTTTAATGAGGTGTGAAATTTGCTTAGTCTTTAGACAGACAAATTAGCAGCTACAGCAAGGAGTATAAATATCATAAATAAATAAAAAGGCTCACAATTATTATCTGACTATTTCCTGGATTGCCTTGAAGTTTGATTGGCAATAGTTTTGCTTCCCATTAAGAAACCCCAAGGGTCCCTGCTAATAGAAGATTAAGACATTCTGCCAGGCTGAATAGATGAATCTTTCTTATAAATATAACAGGCCTTGCTGAGGGAAAAAGTCATATAATACTGTTTTTGAAGGAAAGGGGGTTTGCATCATGTGTCTTTTTGGGAACCAGGTATTTTTCCAGGGGGTAAATATATATATATATATAAATTTACGTGGCTGTGTACATGAAATGCTATCACATATAAAGCATACTATTATCTGAACAAGAGCACCTCCCTAAAATAAACAGTTTCAGAAAGTTTCCTCAGTCTATCTTGTTTCAAATTTGCCATTCACTTTTTTTTCTATTCTCCCATTAGAACATAGAGTGATCACACTTATCTAACAAAAAACAGTCTCCCACACCTGGGATTCTCTAGAAGTGCTGGATTACATAAACATAATTCCAGGCTAGTGGGCAATTAAGTGCAGCATACTTGGAGGGCACCAGGTGTCATATGCAAAACAATTTTCACCCTTTGGCAAGTAGCAGCTATCTAAGCGGGCGGCCAAGGGCACCCAAGGTATGGATGCTAAGGAAACGGCATGGGAAGTTGGGGAGCAGAGCTCCTGGCGCATTCTTGCACCTGAGAGCATGTCAGCAGAACTGAATCATCAGAAGAATGCCACTGGGTGCCTGGAAGCAAACTTCTCAAGCGCAGCCTCACAAAGGTATTCTATCAGAGATGAGAGATGAAAAGAGGGAGGGAGGGTTTTCTGTGAGATAACAGGCCAAAAGGAGCCCAGTGTATTGCAAGGAGCAGCAGAAATACCACAGTTCTAAAATGCTTCGTCTACCTTCCGATCTCTTCCTCAAGAGAAGACAGAAAGGAATCCTTTCCTCCTCTCGCCCTCTGGCCTTCCCCATCTCCCTCCCTTTGCAAAGAGCGCGCGCGCACTGGCCCCATCTGCTACAATTCGCGCCTACAGTTTAGGGCAAGCACGCGCAGCCCCCCAACCATACATGCCGTTCTACCCCAGCCCAGAAATTCCAAAGCGCCCCAGAGCCTTCGGCGTTCGTGCAAGGGCACCTACATGCGTCGCCTTCCGGAGACGGTCCAAGCAGGGCCTGAGCTCACAGCTGAGGCTCCTCCTCGGCACGGCCCCGATTCGCCGGGGATTCGAACAGAAGTCTCTCGCCCTGGCGCCGGGCCATCAGTTCAAGCAGCCACGGCCCAGAGGAAGCCGATCAAGGGCTTCACAGGAATAACCGCGGTGCCGAAAAGGAGAGAAGGGAAACGGGGGGGAAGAGTCACGCAGCCAGGCACTCGGACTCCCAAGCGATCGCTCTCCGCGAGCAGCCAACACCCGGTGGCCCAAGCCGTCTCCGTTGCACCGCCACCCACCCTCTCTCTCCTCGCTCTCCCCGCGTTCTTTCTCCGTTCTCATTCCCACCTTTCACTCACCATCCGGAGCGGTTCACCAGGTCCCTGCGCTCCTACAGCGTGTGCGCATATACAACACGTGTCCAACGCAGCGCAAAGACAAGGCGAGAGCGCAGCTGCTAGGCCGCGAAGCCAGGCCCAATCCGCCTCCTAAAGGGGCGGGGAAACGAAAGCCAGTCCAGCCCGTCCTGCTCTGACGCAAGGCAGTGCATCTGCCCGTTCGCACGTTTCCGGAAGGCTGTGCCGCCTGGCTCCGTCGGCTTTGGCCTGAGGAAGCCGCGAAGTGCTGGCTTTGCTGGTAGGCAGCAGAGGCCGCTGTGTCTCTCTTCCCCTCGCTTTGCTACTCTTTCGACAAAAAGTGCTGACTGGCCGACTCTCTTGAGCGGGTCTACGACAATTCGCCACGGCCAACTCGCCGCAGGACAACTTGCGGCGGAACAACTCGCCGTGGGACAGCGAAGAAATAGGGGAATAGAATCATTAAAAAGGGGACGCCAAAGGAAGGATAAGATAAGATAACCTTTATTGTCATTTTTTTACTGTGGGCACAATGGCACACATCAAAAATGAAATTTAGTTGCCCACTCTCAAGTGAAACGCATACATGACACACACTTGAACATACTATATGTATAGACCCATACCTCTACATATGCATAACAAATATTAAATATTGTCCATCTTGAATATATAACGGAAGGAGGAAGATTTAGAGTTCACAAGGTTAACGCTGTATGGAATGAAACTATGGCTGAATCCGGATGTTCTGCTACGGATACCACGAAGCCTCCTCCCAGAAGGTAACAAGGAAAACAGGTCATGAAGAGGATGTGTGTAGTGTCCCAGATAATCTTATGGACCCTGCTCAAGCAGCACTTCTATGCTATGTCCTGGATGGGAGGGAGGAAACTGCCAATGATCTTTTCAGCCGTCCTCACCACTCCCTGCACCGCCTTCCTGTCTGAAGCAGTGATGTTTCCAAACCAGACTGTGATGTTGTATGATGATGCTCTCAATTGTCCCCCTGTAGAAAGTGGTCAGGACAGGGGAAGGAAGATGTGCTTTTCTCATGCGACGCAGAAAATGCAGGCGCTGCTGTGCCCACTTCACCAGTTTCTCACTGTGAGCGACCAAGCCAGCCTACTCGTTAGCTGCACACCCAGGAATTTGATGTTGGTAACCATCTCCACAGGTGAATCATTAATGCACAGAGAAGTGTGGCTGTGCCTGCCCTTTCTGAAATTGACAATGATCTCTTTGGTTTTTCCAGTATTTAAAACTAGGCTGTTTTCCTTACACCAGTTCACCAACCCCTCAACCTCTTTGCGGTAAGCTTCCACCTTGTCATCATGAATAAGGCCCACTACTGTTGTATCATCTGTGAACTTCACAATATGGTTGATGGCAAATCTAGCATAATAGTCACGGGTCAACAGGTGAACAGCAGCGGACTTAGGACGCAGCCCTGAGGAGAACCTGTGCTCAAGAAAACGGTATTAGAGGTATTTGTTCCAATTCACACATATTGGAGCCTGTTGGTAAGAAAGTCAAGAATCCAGTTGCAGAGAGGAGGCCCAGTTTGTCTACTAGATGCTGGGGAATGATTGTGTTAAACAAACTGAAGTTGACAAACAACAAATGCATGTATTTCTTTCCTCTAAGTGCTTCAAGCTCAGATGGAGAACGGAATAGCATCCTCCGTAGAGTGATTTGGTTGATAGGCAAACTGAAGCGGGTCAAATGCTGGCGGGAAGCTAGATACAATAATGTCCTTTATCAGCTTCTCAAAGCATTTCATAATGGTGGATGTCAGTGCAACCAGATGGTAATCATTGAGGCCTGTAATTGTGGACTTTTTTGGCATTGGCAAGATGATGGCTGTCTTAAAACACGATGGGACCACTGCCTGCTGCAATAAAATGAAATGTGAATGACAAAAATTAAAATATTTTTTAAATTATTTTAAATTGAATTGTTGCATTTTCCTGTGGTGAGTTGTGCATGTAGCAGTGCTTGGAGGATCCATCGTCAGGATTTTAGATGGCACAACAGATGGTTGTCCTTAGAAGCCAAAGTTTATTCTTTGTGCAATTTTAATCCCACATGCCTGAATCGGGAGAGCTGATGAGATGGGGGCAAGCTAAATAGGGTTCAAATATTTATGACAGGGAGAAAAGAGTACTGGAAAAGGTAATTAGAGTTGTGAATAGTGAATTCTCAACACTTTAAAGATCTAATGCAGAGGTCCCCAACCTATGGGATGCACCTGTGAGGCCGCGTGAATAGTTGGGCAGTGTGCGCACATGTGTGCGTGCTCATCTTCCCCTCATGCCACTGTTGCCACAAGTGTGTGGGCAGCGGCAGTGCCATTAGTATTGCGTGGATGGCGGCAGTGCCGCAAGTGGCAGGTGGCCCACGGCATGATCCTTGTGCAGGGGCAGTGGCGCAATCCGTGTTCCGGGAGCAGCATCACTGTGGGGCACGATGTGATCCTTGCATGGGGGTGGTGGCATGAGCCTCGCATCGGGAGCAGCATCATTGCGGGCCACAGCACAAGCCTCAGGTCACACTGCAGGTTGCGGCACAAGCCTCACATGGGGCGGCAGCGCAAGCTTTATGCTGGGGGTGGTATCACTGTAGACTGCATTGTGATCCTCGTGCTGATGGTAGCATCACCACGAGCCTGGAGGCAGCGGTGCCACAAGCCTCACACAGGCGCCGCCGTTGCTGAGAGCCTCACACGCATGCTCACAGCCCCGTTTGCGTTGTGCACATGCTTGCAGCCTGTTTGTATGTGTGCATGCATATGTGGCCACAATCATGTTTGTGTGTGTGTGCGTAAGGCACCTGCCCCTCCCTCTCCCACTGGGCCGCCAAAACAAAAAGTTTGGAGACCCCTGATCTAATGGATTCTTCTGCCTAAGATGGGCCTATGACTCATGGTTTCCCAGTTTCTAACCTGATACTTTAACCACTACACCAAATTGGCTGTTTGGAAACAGGGCACTTTATATTGTACTGATTTTAAATTGTTCCAGTAAGAATAAACAGAATTCCTGAGATCCCTTTTGTAATTTTGCAGTCATGCTAAACTAAGGGAAGGCTGAGCGTTGTGCACAGTATGGAGCTCTGGGAAGCACACACACCCAGAGAAGGAAATATTAAAAAGGCAGAATATTATATTTCCCCAAAGGATCTTAAAGGCAGAAAAGTAGGCCCAGTTTTTCTTTATAGATCCAAACAGAAACTAAACTGCAGATTTGATATGTAGAAATGCAGATTTGATAATCCTATTCAGAAAGACTGAGGCCCCATTCATGAGCAAATACTACCTGCAGAAACCCATTCAAGACAGGATCTTTCGAAATCCCTTGCAGCAAAATTGATAGCTAACAATAGCAAAGTGATGGAATTAGAACCAGCAATCCCTCACCCATCCAACACAGGACATAGCCATCAGCCACAGCCCCAGGAAAGCAGAACATGACATTTAGGACATAATAGGATTAACCCACCACCATCAGAATGCAAAAAGAGCACACTCAGACTCAGATCAAAGTACATGACACAGGAAATACAAAGCCGCAGGAACAGGAACAACTCCAAACACAAAAGCCCAAGAAGATATAAAAACCCACTACTCCCAGTAACATGTGGTCAGCTGCTCTAGAGCCATATGTCTTGTGGTTCTGCACTTCAGTAAACTACAACCTTCTTTCTAAAGCAGTCTCCATTTTGTTTGTTCCCGGCTTGGACTGGACCCTGATGAAGATTTTTCTTTCAACAGAGGTTTACTGTATGTACTATTAAACAGCATTGGTGGATTATTAGTTGCCATCACTCAGGTAACTGGTAACTCCAACTTTGGATAGGGAAGGGAACATCAAGAACATGGGAGAAATACTGAAAACAGGTGGGAGGGGGAAATTTAAAGCCATTGACCTGGGGCTATGGAGGGGAAGAGGATCCTCCATTGATTTGCCTGCATTCTTCCATTCAAATGTTCTGAACTATTAAGTGGTTAAGAGGCCCTGCAGGAATTTTGGTTGCCCCTCAGCAGAAACAAAGTGTATGCCATCCAAAAAGAGCCTGTTTTCATTTTCTTTGATAATACTGTTTATTGTCCGGAGACTCAAGTGTCCACATACGAATTATACAAAGCGTCAGAGACATGCCCAGTCTGCTTGTCTATTCAACAACTTTCATGTGTTCCCAGCACAAGAAAATCTCAGCTTTCAGAATCCAACAACAAAAACAACCCACCCCATATTATTCTACCCACCAAACAATCTTCCCAACCCAGCTGCTCCCCAAAAAGCTTTAAATTACGGCAGCAAGTTACTTATTTTTTCATACTCACTAAGCAAAGATTTGAAAATAATGTAAACTCTTTATTATTATTTTTTAAATATTTTTGAATTGCTGGCATGGAGGGGAAACTGTTCTGTCATGGGTGCTTCAGGGAAAGTTATGCATGACACTAAAACTCTCAGCTATAAATTAAGCCAATTGGGAAGTCTTGTATACTGTTTTTCTATAAATAGGTCTTTTGCAGGGATTGTTTTTTCACACTGCTACTTAAATGGCCACCTTAGTTTGCTTGCTGGCAGGCTGGGAGCTGCAGTTTGGCTAGCAAGAAGCAATCACGTGTTGCTGCTACCCTCCGGTCTCTGTAAAAGTCTTACACATGCTACAGGAGAAGCCAGAGGAAAAGACAGGAACAGAATACTGCTTCCGCTGGCATTCCAGGATGAAGGAAGGAACATTGTCCTCCATACATTTTGACATTCTTCCCCACTGTATGTTAAAAGCTTCCAACGCAGAACCCCTTTACAAAGTAATAAGTGCAAATCTAACAGCTAAACAAGGACATTAAAAGAACATAATAAGAGGAATGATACAACTGATTGCTGAAACAAACTGAAAAAAAAAATTAAAAATCAAAAAGTATCAACAGAGAGAAAAGTAAATGTCA